GTTAAGAGGCAATGGCTACAAAATTAGCGGATGAATTTTTCTTTTACTCAAAACAATGTTTTTTTTTTACTTTGGAATAACACAAATTGAAATGTACTTTTAACAAATCAAAACATATTTATGTTTTAGCTTATGTACAGTCTCCACTCTTTTAAATCACAGCTCTTCACTCTATCATTCTCTTCATAATATTGTGATTCTCTGTGTATTGAGATTCTAGAAACATTTACTTCATAAGAAAAGATGTTATGCTCTTTTTGCTAACCTTTTTTCCCCTAGTCATCTGAGCTATTCTTAGCTTGTTTTGAGTTTGGATTGTGGTCAAAAATTAATAATGAAAGGTTTGTTCACCTAATGCCACAGTATATTTTGCTTTGTGTAGACATCTTTTGTGTGGTGGTTAAATCATTTTTTCTAATATTATTTATTTGTTTGTTTGTCAAATATGTTAAATAAAAACATGAACAAGTATATTTATATACACAGTATAACAATTTTCAAATGTTTGGGATGTTTTGAGATTTTAAATTCTTTCTTTTATTCATTTTTTTTTTTTTTTTTATACTCACCAGAGTTTCATTTATTTGATCAAAAACAGTAAAAAAAAAAAACAGTCATATAAATTAAAAAAAATAAAGTCTTCTGTTTGTGTATTTTTAAAGTGTTCAGCGGGCATTACTCCAGTCTTCAGCGTCACATGATCCTTCAGAAATCATTCTAAAATGCTGATTTGGTGCTCAAACATTTCTGATTATTATTTGTTTTGAAAATAGTTGTGCTGCTTATTGCAGATATTTTTTCCCAAGATTCTTTAATGGATATAAAGTTCAGCATTCATTTGAATTAAAAGGGGTGGTTCACTGTTTTTATTCTAGGCTTGATTGTTTTTTTGTTTTTCTTTATCTTCCATTCACTACGTTTGGCCGAATTGGTTTTAAAAGCTGAGGTATTTTAACCTTTGGTCCTTTTGTGCTTCTTTTTGTTTTCCGTATGTCTTTTTCATGTCTGCATCCTCAAGGCTGGCCCATGAACAGACAAGTATTCACAAGTACCCAAATCTCTTTCACGGCTGTACTGGCAGCCCATCAGCGTGCAAGTATGCAAATGTGAAGTTGTGTGCGCAAAGTGTCATTTCTCCCCTCATGAAAACGCCTCGCTGGGCGAACAGGGCCGAGAGGGCTCAGGTGTTCCCCAAGAGAGAGAAATAAAGACAGACGAACCCCTAAATCAACCTACCGCAACCTCCTGTGACTGCAGATCCCATCTCAGAGCATCCTTGATCTCAGCTCGCCTACAATTGACTATTTTTTCCTCACAGTAATGAGCCTGAGAAACCAAAACGCGATGAGGAGGTCGTCTGTACGTGTTTTCCGATAGGATTGTGATTGAAAGGTCTAAATCGTAAGGGTTTCAATTGTGTGGCTTTGGTTGAATAAATACTGCTGCTTGGCTGTGCCAGCATATCACACTAGAAACTGTATAATCAAGTGCCTTCAGACAAAAAAATTGAAACATGTTCCTGTCGTTTTTACACTAGAGATCATAGATCAAATTTGACGCCTGCTTTTACTTTCTCGCTTCATTAATCAAAGTATATTTCTTTCAAAGGTTTTATAAAAAAATTATGTTGGGAATTAGGGTTTGATTTTTTTTTCTTTTCTCTTTAAAGAACCCTAGTCTCTTTGTGTGTTAGTTTTATTTAAGCCTGATTTTGTTTCTTGAGGTTTATGGCATTCATGTGTGATTTCAAAGAACAAATCGGATCTGTTTTTGCTCTCATTTTAACAGATGTGTACAGAACAACTATTCTAAGAGCTGCCTTACAGTACATGATTACAGTAACTGATTCACAAAGAACACTAACTAGATGGACGCTATCATTTCTGCTGCATCATAATCAATCTGAGGGGGGATCATTTTGGTTTTGTTACCGATATCTATTTTTATCTTACGATTTTAGTATCTCAGTTGATATGTTGTTGCTTACTTGCATATTTTAGTGCAAATCTCTTGTGATTGTTTTTTTTTTTTTCATCCAAAATCAAGGGACTAAAATATCAGGGGCACTTTGATCAATAGACAGACATCTCTGATATGAGCTCCAGTAGAGTCTGAGCCAGTTATGTTGATGTTTGGTGCCGAGATGGATATCGGGCAGGAAAAGGAAGGTTCTGATACGTTTAGATGGGTAGATGAGCATGTCTTGAGGGTTAGTGCTGTAGATTAGCTGTTAGCTTGGATTTGAATTTGGTAACTGTGGATATGAATAATAGAGTAGACTTCTATGGAAACAATCAGTTATCGTTTCTGTCAGGATTTCTTTGAGGCTTCCAAAGACTTTTAGTAAGGATTCTTTTAATGGACGACAAAAAATAACGTATCATACTTTTATGTACACGTAAGAAGACATAAGCTAATGAGAAAAGGTCTAATTGATTTGTGAGGAGATCTCTAATGAAGCCAGATTTGACAGGTCCTCTTATGCTGGTTCCTGATGTCAGTACTGAAGACACAGTAGGCAGGTTACCTAGGTTTACATTATTTCACTAGAGTAGAACACTACAGGGACTTGCCCATTACAAATTTGCTGCAGATGCTTTGCATTCAGTAGTAATTAAGTAATATGAATATTACCTCTTGTTTACAATATGGTTACTTTTACACTACATGATTATAGCTCAATAATTGGCCCTTACACTAAATGTGTGTTGTACTGATTTTTTTTTTTAAGGTGAAGTTTTATCAGTATAATATTCTGTGGTCTGTTGGGGTGAATATACTGCTAAGATTTATAACTCCGTAGCCTCGGTACCAAACAAAAATGGTATGGTCAAATCTATGGTCAAAAGCAGCAAGCTATGCCATTGTAATGAAAGTTAGAGGTTATAGAGAAAATAAGTGGTGTGGAAAACAAAAAGACAAGCTAAGAAAAATCTCTATTTTTGCAAACATAGTATTGATGGCAGACTCTAGTGGGGTAAAACCGTGTTGGAGAGAGCATTGCAACAAAGTGTTTTATGAATTGTGGGTACAGTGATGGTATTGCACGTTTATAGAACATTGACTAAAATGTGTATGTCACTTAAACATGATTTTATGCTTGCTTAGTGTGCAACTGTTCAGAATATATAGTAACTGTTTACTTTCATTTTTATTTTTTTGTAGTGGTAGTACTAATCACACAAGTTAATGGATTGGTATTTAGATTTATTTTAAATGCACCCAGAATGAATTTATATCCATTTATTATGCTCTCTTTAATTTTTTTTAAATCAGTGTATGTGCATGTACCTCAGAACCTTAAGTTCTGTTACATTATATCTCTTTACATATTACTTTAAAATTGGCCTGGAATAAAGTATATACTTTGGTAGATGCTGTGTTTAATCCGTTTAATCCAACATTTTATGCTTTATGAGCAGAGTATTATTAGAGATTAATTGTAAATTGTGTCTGAGGAAAATGTTTTGCACTACATTATGCAGTCCACAGACTCCGCACCGGCTAAATCACTTTATTGGATCACTACATGAAACCAATATCAACACTTTTCAAAAAACATATACCATGAACTGGTAACACTTTACAATAAGGTTCATTAGTTAACTACTTTAGTTTAAATGAGCTAAGCATGAACAGTACTTTTACAGCATTTATTAATGTTAATTTTAATTTAAACATTTAATAATGCATTATTAAAATCAAAAGTTGTGCTTGTTAACATTAGTTAACACACTGTGAATTAACATGAACTAACAATAAACAACTATATTTTCATTAACATTAATAAAGATGAATAAGTACTGTAACAAAGGTATTGTTCATTGTTTGTTCATGTTAGTTTATACATTAACTAACATTTACCTTATGGAACCTTATTGTAAAGTGTTACCCATTAACTTTTATACAAAAATACCATTAACCTCAAAAGAAAAGCAAAAAAGTCAATGAACCGTAACCAATTAATTTGTCTCATGTCTTTTACAATAGTTGTTTAGTCTAGTTTAAGTACAAAATCATTAAAATGTCCTGTAGTACAACTTGGACTACACTGGTGTAGATACAGACACACACACACACACAAAAGAAATTACATTGTTCAAGTATTCACTACTTAAAATGTAAAAACTGCTAGGGAATAAGCTATTTAAGATTACAATATAAAATGTATCAAACCAGACCGTCTCGTATTCATATTAACCATATTATGATGAAAATGTTCTCTTCAGATTATGACTAGCTTGTGTTTTAGCCTGTATTTCCTCAGCGGCTCCATTTTAAATGATGGCATCATGTTCCTCACTGCAGGACATGAAATAAATATTAGCTGTGTTACATTTACATACGAACATATATAAAACATGGGATTATACATAACAGAGTGCTAGAGTCTGGTTCCGGAAGTAAAAACCATAGGGAAATTCATTTTTAACAATGCCTTATAAACCATTAAAGGGGTCCTATTATGCTTTTTCACTTTTTCAACTTTAGTTAGTCTGTAATGTTGCTGTTTGAGCATAAAAAAAGATCTGCAAAGTTACAAAGCTCAAAGTCCACTTCAAAAGGAGATATTTTATTGAACAGAAATCACTTTTCAAAAACTACAACGAACGACTCGTTTGGACTACAACGCATGTTTTCCGGGATTTGTGATATCACAAAGATCAACGAATGGTACGAGACCTGGTTGAGCTGCACTAGAGAAGGCAACGAGTGTTATCACTATGTCAGAGACACGCTAGCTTTCCCAAAGCAGACGAACTTAGAGCGGTTACAATCATCCAGGTTTAAATCACGCTCAAATTG